GCTGAGCTCTCCCTTCAGTGTCCACTGGTATTTCAACTGCTTTTAACACATTGGGTGTTCCAAGATGGCCACCACATGCCACCACTGTACATGTGTGGTGATCTCATTTCCAGTCTGGCGATAATGTATATTCTGTACATGTGTTGTGGTGGGTTGCAATAGAGGGCAGTATTTTAGGCGGACACATACTTGGTAGTCTTTATCTAACACTCTGGTACATTTCCTGTGTTCTTTATGATGTTTTTAGTTCCATCTTTAACAATGCCCAGCTTTGTGCTAAGGTAGATCCCTTGAGGCTTGGTTGTCTGCATATTGCCTGGTGTTGCAGTGTTGCGGCTAGCCATGCTTTTGGATGGACTTATTTTGGGTTGTGGTTTAGGTTATTTACTTATTTATTTTAATTATTTTGTAAATGTAAATGTATTTATTTATTATGGATCCTCCATATGGTCAGCATATACAGAACATATTCTTTACAGATCTCTGAGCTGCCCTCTGGATCTCTCTGCATTTACAGTTGTCCCTTTTTCCTTCTTGGGACCCTTTTATTTAGGGATTGCTCCACCAAAACAAAAAGGCTTGTTGTTTTTAATTTTTATATGTAGGCTTGTAACTGCTAACCTCTTTCTGAGTGTGTGAGTATTTAGAGTACCATGTTCTTGTATTCTGTAAAATGATTTTACTCAGTTCTGTGATATTTCATATTATTATTTATTCTTATAAAGCAAGGTATACTTGAGCCCCTGAAAAAGAGTGATGCGTGAAGCAAGTCAGAAAGCCTTTACATCAAGACTGTTTCACTTGAACCTATGAAAGTTGTATATGGGGCTCTGTTCCCCTAAGGTCTAAGCCTACAGTAAATGCTTTGAGATATGTTTTTATGTTATGAAATAAAGATTCACTATACTGTTTTTATGTACTAATTTTGGTGTTTGAATTACATCTGGATCCCACACACTCATAACACTAGTCACTGTACCCCTCAATTCTTCCAACTGTCTATTATTATTATTCCAACATTTTTACTTGTACAATTGAGTCATTAGTGTTTTAAGAGATTGTTCTCTTTGATTGACATCAAGTTCTTTGAGAAAAACCATTTTAACATATACCGATTTTATGTAAGCTTCTCAGTCCCCATTCATTATTCCTGTAATGTCCTGCTATCAGGAAAAATGTTAGGGCAAAATCACCAATTAGGACACAGGTGGCAATAAAAATGTGAGGGAGTTCTAACCCTTCCTACATGAATTACAAAACAGAGTCAATGTTTTCACATTTATTCAATAGGAAAATGTTTTTTTTTTTATGTTTTTTTGCAGGATATATTGTGATATAGTACAAAATTCACTATATAATTTGTAGTCTTGTTTGGTGTATTTACTAAATCAAAGTGGATCAAGTCCAAGAAATATTATCAATTAATGAACGGTACAATTTTCACAGTTGGAAATTTGACCATTCTCCCATTTCTAATGAACACCTATAATTAGATATGGAAAAAATATGCTGTATGTTACATTTTAGTATAGGATTTACAGTAATGAAGAGCAAGGTATCTCATTTCAGAAGTCATATGAATAACAAGAGGTCAACAGTTTTGTTCTTAGCTATATTAATTATACGTCAAAGACCATGTAATTTTATTACAATTCATGGATACCCAATTTTATTACTTAGTTTGAAATATACTCAGAGGTAATGTAGTAGAAAAAGAAAATCTGGAAGAAAAATTTAAAATGAGTGTTATTTGTCGTTATAATTTATATGTATCTTATACAACATTAAAAGGACTTCTTTAAACTTAAACTGGAATTGTACTTAAAAAAGCTAGAATGAAGGCTTCTTTTGTTGAAAAAGAGACATACATTAAATATTAACCCAGGATTTACAAATATTTCCAGTTTATTAAAAATGTGTAAATATTAAGTGAAATTTGTGTATTATTGTGTAAAAACATTTCTAAGTAGACCCTGTGCCTCCTGCTTGCCCTTTAGCACTTTGCTAAAGTGTACACTGTGCAAGTAAATAACTTTTCTTCCATGCACATTTGTTGGAGTTATGGAAATAAAGATGGCCAGATACACCAAACTTAAAAGAAGACTCTGCAAAGATCGAAGCACCAGCAAGAAAGCTTGCATTACTGGCTGGCAAATAGGTACAATAAACTTTAGCCTCAAAGTCTCGAAAACTTTGTTTAACCAGTTAAAGGTATACTATAGAAACTTAAGTCTTAAACACATACAATGGGCAATGGCTGTTTGCCCAAGGATTACAACTTTCATTCTAGCAAGTTCTCCCTCCTCCAACAAATATATTCTCACCTAATCCATTCTTCATTCTTCCATAGGAGTTGGAAGTCTGAAGGTCTCCAATGGAACTATGAAACATCAGGAAATAACTGCGAAGCTAATTATAAATGGGCTGGGGGTTCGTTTTGGAGAAGCTCTGTCACTTTCCCCAGGCTGGATAAAGACAAGAAATTTAAACACTGCTATTGCTCACCACTTCTTTTAAAAATTCTAGTCATGTAGCAGACATGGTGATTCAAATTTTTTCTACAGTTTCTGTGACACTGACCCAGAATAAATATGCACACCAGGATTTCTAACTTTTCTGTCTGAATCCAACTTCTGTATGAGTAAATTAAAGTCACAGTAAGCCAATACAACTCTACATGTCTATGTGAAAATAAACATACCTTTTATCCAGCTGGTCTAAACTATTGTAATCCGTACCAGATTTGAATTAAACTCAGGTTCTCATGTCCAGGGTGAGATAACATTAAATTATAAAGGACCAGACACATTTTAGTAGGAAATACTGCATAAAATTTTATTACAATACATTTAATAAGTTATTTTTAAAGCAGTGCTTTAACTTAATGCAAATATAATACATTACTCTTGTTTCTTAAACAATATGACTAAATGCTTAAAAAATAAAAATACAAAAATAAATCTTCTATATTTGCATTAAAAATGTGTAGCACATTTTATATGCAATGTAATATTGAGTTATGGTTATCAAGAAGGAAGTTTAAGTAGTGGAAATGTAAGTAAACTCATCTCTTTCTAAAACACAAAGGTGCTAAATCCCTGATACATTGTTTCTTGTTATACATTCCACTTAGGAGAACCTTAGAAGGTATCCCCTCCACATAAATGGGGATTTACCACCCTGTTAACCCACATCAGTTAGCCCTTAAAGTGGTATGTATACAAATAAAACACTATAGGTCCCCCTCAATATTTTATTTCCCTGAAACCCTTTCCCTGTGTTTTTCTCCCTTTCACTGTTTTTGACTTGGTATGGTTGTGGTCCCCAAGTTATTTTCCCTATGGTCTGCTAAAATAAAATAAATATTTGTGTGAGTATATGTGTATGCAATTCTCTTCTCACCGGCCTACCCAAGTGCAGGCTCTCCCTGCTCCAGACCATCCTGAACTCAGCGGCTAGACTCATCCACCTCACCACCCGCTCCACCTCTGCCACCCCCCTCTGCCTCTCCCTCCACTGGCTCCCGATTGCCCAACGCATCAAATTTAAACTTCTAACCCTGACCTACAAAGCCGTTCACAACACTGCCCCTGTCTACCTCACCAACCTGATCCCCAAGTATCGCCCTACCCGTACCCTTCGCTCCTCACAGGACCTCCTTCTATCCTGCTTCCTGGTCTCCTCCTCCCATGCACGACTGCAAGACTTCTCCAGGTCCTCCCTATCCTCTGGAACTCACTGCCCCAATCCATCAGACTGTCGCCTTCCCTCCTCACATTCAGGCGCTCCCTCAAAACCCATCTCTTCAGGGAAGCCTACCCCACCCTCACCTAACGGCCATTCTCCCTCTTTCCTCCCACCCCTCATTCCCCTCAGCCACTTCCTACTGTACCATTATCCCCTCCCTCCTAGATTGTAAGCTCGAAAGAGTAGGGCCCTCTTACCCCTCGTACGTTGTTTGTTATTGTTGTACTGTGCCACGTATTGTCCCCCCCCCTATTGTACAGCGCTGAGCAAACCCTTTGGCGCTATATAAACTCGATGTAATAATAATAATAATATGTATATGTATGTATGTATATATATATATATATATATATATATATATATATATATATACTGCATATACACAAAGGTATATGGTAAATTACATAAATTGTTGGTATACATTTATCTGAAGAAACGTAGACCTATGTTGTATTTATTAATGTAGTCTCACAGAGCCTGAAAAAATGTGATCCACAAATCCCATTGTGCTTTGACCATTGCAATCCCCCCTGTTATCATTAATCAAGCTTTTGGAAACCAAGGGTGGGAAGGTCAATGGTGTAAAGTAAAACAACTAGTTTTTTTACCATGGAACATGTTATGTATTTATAAATGAGCTACTATGGCTAGAATGCTATATATTTTAATAATCAATGTTTTAGAAGAATTTGAATGAATTGATGAAATTTTAATTGTGGTGTATACTGTATGCATACTAGAGCACCCTCCAAGTCCCCTACATGGTTGATTTTTTTGCTTTCTCTAATCTGAGGGATGTTGGGGCCCATCTGTGTGATTCCAACTCTATACATTTATATGATCTTGTCCCAATACATCTCATACACTGTGCACCAGGGAACTCTACACTCTGTTCTGCATGAATCCTTCCATGATATATTTCCATTTCTTGATAAACTGCTATTAACTCTAGAAAATCAATTACTTTCTACTGTTTCTATTTTCCTGCTTCCTTTAACCACTAGCCTACAGGGCACTTATACCCCCTTCCTGCCCAGGCCAATTTCCAGCCTTCAGCTCTGTCACACTTTGAATAACAATTGCACGGTCATGCAACACTGTACCCATATGAAATTTTTATCATTTTTTTGAGACAGATAGAGATTTATTTTGGTGGAATTTAATCACCTCCGGGTTTTTTTTTTTATTTTTTTGCTAAACAAACCAAAAACAACTGAAAATTTTGAAAAAAACATGTTTTTTCTTAGTTTTTGTTTTAAAATTTTGTAAATAAGTGAATTTTCTCCTTCACTGATGTGCGCTAATGAGGCTGCAGTGATGGGCACTGATAGGCTGCACTGATGGGCCCTGATAGGTGGCACTGATGAGCACTGATGAGGAGGCACTGGTAGGTGGCACTGATGGGCATTGACAGGCATCACTGATGGGCACTGAAAGGCAGCACTCATATATGAATAAAATAAACTTATATATAAAATCTATATATAAAATCGAGCGCAGTGTATAGGTGTAAGTACGGTAGCTGCTTGCACAAAAAGGCACCTCGGGAACCTCCAAAGTAATTGATAAAGAATGAGAGTGCAGCGCTGACCCAAATAGCGATTAAACATATGATAGACCACATATGATAGTGGATCAGTAAAATGTCAGTGTAAGTTCATCAGATGTGCAAGTGACATCCCTGGATCCATGACACAGCTCCTCCTGGAACGGATGACATCTAGTGGTCGCCCTATAGATGACATCCGCCTGATCCTCTAATACAGTGGCTGGACTCAGCTTCCATCCGGATAGATGACATCTAGTGGTCACCCTATAGATGACATCTCCTGGCTCCAGTGATACAGTGGCTGAGCACCAGGGGCAGGTCTTAAATGCTCCATGCGCTTTAATATACGCTATCTGGTTAGTGCATTATTTGGCTATTATCATTTCTGAAAGTCACTACTTTTGGTTCTTTACATATTGGAGACTGTATGCATTTTCAGCACATCTGATGAACTTACACTGACATTTTACTGATCCACTATCATATGTGGTCTATCATATGTTTAATCGCTATTTGGGTTAGCGCTGCACTCTCATTCTTTATCAAGCACTCATATATGGCATGGATAGGCGGCACTGATAGGTGGGACTGATAGGCGGCACTGACTGTCACTGATAGGCGGCACTGACTGGCACTGTCAGGCGGCACTGATATGTAGCACTGACAGGCACTGATAGGCGGCACTGATGCGCACTGATAGGCAACACTGACTGCCACTGATAGGCGGCACTGACTGGCACTGATATGTGGCACTGATTGTCAGCACTGATAGGTGGCACTGACTGGCACTGATAGGTGGCACTTACTGGCACTGATAGGTGACACTGAACGGTAGCTCAGATGGGCACTGATATGTGGCATTGATGTGCACTGGTAGGCACAGATATGTGGCATTGATGTGGCACTGGCAGGTGGCACTGATGAGCACTGACAGCTGGCACTGATGGACACTGACAGGTGGCACTGCTGGGGCTACACTGATCATCAGGGTACACTGATCATCAGTGCCCTGATGATCATTGTACATGTCCCCTCTGAGGAATGCTGATCACTGGCTCTCCTCTCCTCTCGAGCTGTCAACGTGGCAGCTAGAGTGGAGAGACATGCCGATAACTGGCATTTCCCTATTTACATATGATCAGCTGTGATTAGACACAGCTGATCACATGACCGAGCTGACATCTTTGGCTCTTTCTATTGATCAGGGACACAGCACACCACCAATCACCGCGCTGCGCGCTCCTGGAGCCACGCACACGCGGTTAGAGTGGGAGGACGTCATACTATGTCCTCCCAGAACGAGAGAACCACCTTGCGCCCGTCATTGCCTTATATGGCGGGCGGGAGGTAGTTAAACAGACCTAATAAATTAACCTAGAGTATAATTTAGGCCTGTTAACAAATAATCTCCTAAATTAGCAAAGATCTGAGATTTCAAATTAACACATAATTAGTCTTTAACCACTTGCTTACTGGGCACTTTCACCCCCTTCCTGCCCAGGACAATTTTCAGCTTTTAGTGCTGTCTCACTTTGAATGACTATTGCGTGGTCATGCAACACTGTACCCAAATTAACTTTTTATAATTTTTTTACACAAATAGAGCTTTCTTTTGGTGGTATTTAATCACCACTGGGGTTTTAATTTTTTTTGCTAAACAAACAAAAAAAGACCACAAATTTGGAATAAGTTTTTCTTAGTATCTGTTATAACATTTTTTTAAATAAGTAATTCTTCTCCTTCAGTGATGTGTGCTAATGAGGCTGCATCGATAGGAGGCACTGATGGGCACTGATATATGGCACTGATGGGCACTGGCAGGCAGCACTGATAGGTGGCAATGATAGGCAGCACTGATGGGTATGAATAGACTGCACTGATGAGGAGGCACTGATGGGCACTTACAGGCATCACTGATGGGCACTGATAGGCAGCATTTATGGACACTGAGAGGCATCCCTGATGGGCACTAAAAGGCAGCAATTATGGACACTGATGGGGCTGTACCGATATTCAGGGCGGGGCTGATGCTAGCATTTCCATTGATATATGTAATCAGCTGTGATTGGACACAGCTGATCACAAGGTAAAGAGCCTCCATAATCTGCTCTTTACTGCGGTCGGTGATCTGCTGTGTCCTAAAGACACAGCACACCAGTGATCACAGCATGACGCACCCCTGGGGGTGCGCATACATGGTTAGAGTACTAGGATGTCCTCCCAAAACAAAAGAGATCCCGTCCATCCATCATTTGTCAATATGGCGTACGGGAGGAGATTAACTAAACTAAGTTTTCTTTTTTTTAATGTTTCAAGACCTTCAGTACTTAAGATTCACATTGTCTTTATTTTAGCTTGTATACTACCAACACAGTAAAATTTAGTTACACCGATTATTACATTGAGCCCCTTGCTCCATGCCAATGCCTGTGGTTCTCATGCCCACTTCCGAGTATGCAATTTCTCCTTTCCACAATTGAGGGCACGATAGATCCTTCTAATCAGGATGTGCTATAGGTAGGAAAGATGGGGTAATAATTAGCCTCAGTTACTACTCTCTCCTCCTTGCAGCTTTAAAGGGCAACCCTTTGAGAGGAACACTCTCAGGACCAAAAAAAAGAATGCAACTTCAGTCTGGAACCTCACAAATCATTTTTGTTTGTTACATTTTGCATATATTGTGTCCATTTTTACTTTAATGTGATTTTGAGTTATGAACTTATTATTACTGAACATGATTTGAAGTAATGTATGCTAATTATTTATTTCAAAAATATATTACTTTATTTTGAAATAGACAATTGTTTAGGATAAACTAGTCTATTTGTTAATGAAATTTAAATCAGACCTAGCTGTATATGTTAGCTTCTTGTTTATTAGAAGAACATAAGCAAGTATAAAGATGTAGTGCGCTTTGAAGATGCTTGTTCATTTTTCATCAAGGTGAGAAAAAGAAATTTAATTGAAAATTTGGCATGAATAACTATGCAAGATAATCAAATTACTGTAAGCCACTTTGTTATAACAATATCCCAGTGAGAGAAAAGGTTCCAATAATTATCTTACAGACAGATAAATATGATGATGTGACTAGTAAAATTTTCCATATTTACATATATGGGTATTAATTGGATGTGGTATTAAAACTGAGTTAATAAAATACCTGATTTACATCTAAACTATTCTGAAGATGATTATATTGAGATTAATTAAAAATCATCCAGCATATTTGTTTAGGGATGAGAAAATTCTTTTGAATGGTAATGTTTCAGAGACACAAAAAAATCTAAATTACTTCACTAGCACTAGCATATTTTCAGAATAGTGGGAAAAGCAAAATAATACAAAACAAAAGATTTGTTATAAGGTCTGCTATACTGAATCCCCCAGCCCACATACAGCTACTTTCTTTGTACCCTAGAGGAGTAATCTGAGTTGCCCTATTTTATTTGCTAAATAATAATTGGTAGCCAGTGTTAACTGTGAAAATATAGAGAAGTATTTGGTCACAAAAACAGGATTAAATACCAGAATTACAGTGTATGTAAGCCCTAACAATGAACTTATTTTGTTTGCTACTTTTAGGTCTATTAAATATACCATGCAAGCAATTTGTTTACAATATGCAAAAATATCTGTTGATCATGTGACAACTACATGAAATAATAAGACATGGTCAGAAAAATCAGTTGATAGGGGGGCAGAGCTGGAGGGCAACATGGGCACAGCTGGCAGCCACCGGAGAGATTCACAGTGCAACTGGGCATCAGATAGACGCAGTTCCTCCAGCTTAGAGACCGCTGACACAGACGCAGCATGTCCCACAAATGGAAGGGTAGAGGGAGATTCAGGAGATTAACAGATTTCTTCTCCCCCTCGAACAGTCTGAGTAACCAAGATGGTGACGGCAGCTTCGGAATAACAGATCAGAACACCATTTCAGGCAAAGGCAAAGATAGAAGAGGAGGACCAGAAAACACTGTCAGACCCCAGAAGAGGAGGTTCAGGGCTTCTCTGTGCAAAACCATTGCACAAAGCAGGTAAATATAACATATTTGTTATTTTCATTAAAAGAAAAACACTTTATGTTGCCCTGGTCCTTATTTAGATTATAAAAATGGTTTGGTGAATCTCACTTTCTGGTGAGACAGAGGTACAAGTACAAAGATGCAGGCTGTGAAAGGTGTGGGGGGGTATTTTCTGGGAATACAATAAACCTTAATACAAATTAAGAATCTTTTAACTACTATGGTGTGCCTGAATATTTATGTTAACCATGTACAATACGTATGGATTATAGTTAGATATAACTAATAACACAGCCACATATCATATGTACCTTCATGTATGAGAATATCCAGTCTTCCAACCTGCACTTTCAATACACTGAGCTTATTCAGATGCAGATACCTGACTACAGTTGCAAGAAAAAGTATGTAAACCCCTTGGGATTATGTGGAGTTTTGCATGAGTTGGGCATAAAATGTGCTCTGAACGTCATCTAAGTCACAACAATAGAAGAACACAGTCTGCTGAACATAATACTACACAAACATTAGATGTTGCCATGGTTTAATTGCACATAACATGTAAACATTCACAGTGCAGGGAGGAAAAAGTATGTGAACCTTTGGACTTAATAACTGGTTGACTCTCCTTTGGCAGCAATAACCTCAACCAAACGTTTCCTGTAGTTGCAGATCAGACCTGCACAACGATCTGGAGTAATTTTGGACCACTCCTCTTCACAAAACTGTTTCAGTGTAGCAATATTCTTGGGATGTCTGGTGTGAATCGCTCTCTTAAGGTCATGGCACAGCATTTCAATCGGGTTGAGGTCAGGACTCTGACTGGGCCACTCCAGAAGGCGTATTCTGTGCTGTTGCAGCCATTGTTTTGTTGAATTACTTGTATGCTTTGGGTCTTTGTCCTGTTGCATCACCCATCCTCTGCGGAGCTTCAGTTGGCGGACAGATGGTCGTACGTTTTCCTGCAAAATGTCTTGATACACTCTGGAATTCATTTTCCCATCAATGACAACAATCCGTCTAGGCCCTGAGGCAGCAAAGCAGCCCCAAACCATGATGCTCCCTCCGCCATGTTTTACAGTGGGGATGAGGTTTTGATGTTGGTGTGCTGTGCCTTTTTTTCTCCACACATAGTGTTGTGTGTTCTTCCCAATCAACTCAATCTTGGTTTCATCTGTCCACAGTATATTTTGCCAGTAGTGCTGTAGAACATCCAGGTGCTCTTTTGCAAACTTCAAACGTGCTGCAATATTCTTTTTGGACAGCAATGGCTTCCTCCGTGGTGTCCTCCCATGTACTCCATTCTTGTTTAATGTTTTCCTTATTGTAGATGTGTCAACAAAAATGTTAGCATGTGCCAGAGATTTCTGTAGGTCTTTAGCTGACACTCTGGGATTCTTCTTTACCTCATGCAGCATTCTGCACTGTGCTCTTGCAGTCATTTTTACAGGACAACCACGTCTAGGGAGAGTAGCAACAGTGCTAAACTTTCTCCATTTGTAGACAGTCTGTCTTACCGTGGACACATGAACATCAAGGCTTTTGGAGATACTTTTGTAACCCTTTCCAGCTTCATGCAAGTCAACAATTCTTGATCGTAGGTCTTCGGAGAGGTATTTTCTGCGAGGCATGGTTCACATCAGACAGTGCTTCTTGAAACCAGTAAACCCAAAACAGGTGTGTGTTTTTTAAGGGCAGGACAGCTGTCAGCAACACATCCATTATCATCACACTGATTGGAGTCAAGGTTGGCTCACTCCTGGCTCCAATCAGCTCTGGGAGAAGTCATTAAGCTAGGGCCTCACATACTTTTTCCTCCCTGCACTGTGAATGTTTACATGTTATGTGTAGTATTATGTTCAGTAGACTGTGTTCTTCTATTGTTGTGACTTAGATGACGTTCAGAGCACATTTTATGCCCAATTCATGCAAAA